AATATTTTCAGTTCTCTGAATAGCCATTCCTTGCCCACCTCTCTTGGAACCTAGCACCCTGTGACTAGCAGAGAAAAACCTTTTGGAATGTATTAACTTAACAAAACCTAAGTTTCCACCAACCAAAAGGCTAAGGGTATCATCAGACAGCATCTGAGGCCAGTAGCAGAATTCTCCCTGCTTTGTTAAAACCCATCTACCTAATGACCCCACAAGTGTATTTGAAAAATGTGTTGATTTATGACTTTGTTCTGTTACTATAAAAAGTTCATGAAATTGCTGCCTCATTGGAACATGGAATTTGGAAAGACCTGAATCTGGATTCCCAGGCCACAGTCACTCATATTTGGCTCCATAATAAACTATCTCTTATCCTCTTTGAGATGAGAGTTGTGGTTTTAGTCAACAGTGCTCTCTACCACCTTGGAAGAACCAATGGGATTCCCATGCTTCTCATTTGGGACCATGATAAACAAGCAATCCACCCACAGAACAGGGTCTCAGCCACAGTAGGTTTATATGTTGTGGTAAGTGCCAAAGTAAATCTGCCTACAGAAAGTAGACTGATTCCTTCCCCATGAAAGAGGCCTATTTAAACCACAAGAAAATGCCCCTGTTAACAGGCTATTTGCCAAGGATACATTTTGTAAAACAAAGCAGGCCTTTTCACAGATACATCACTCTGGGTGATCTTTTGTTCATCTACTTACTGCAATTTATCTGGTGTAAAACAGCACAGTGGGCATAAAAAAAAGGGGGTAGGCTGGGGGGGTAGGCTCTGGGTATTTCATCTGCTTTTTTTCCCTCCTTTGGCAATTTGTTTGGACCCCATTATTAAATGTCAAGTAAGTTCACAGCTCCATTTATATGTTTCTCCTGTATAAAACTGATACATTTGGGGCCAGAGAGATGTCTCAATGTTAAGAGCACTGAATGCTCTTGCAGAGGATGTGAGTTTGATTCCAAGCACCCACATGGCAGCTAACAACTGTCTGTAACTCCAGTTCCAGGGAATTCAATGCTTTCTTCTGACCTCCTCAGGCATTACATGACACACATTCAGGCAATACACTCATACACATAAAAAAATAAAATATTTTTAAAAACCTGATACTTTTTACATTCCCTGGCTCAGCCCTGTATTTTAATTACTTTTTTAGATGCAATTCCAAGCACACTGTTGAAGATCAGGTATGCACCGTAGACATACTTAATGTCAGGTAGTACAGTAAACTGGATTCGAGAGAGCTCAACTGGGGCTAGTGAGACAGCTCCACAGGTAAAAGGACACGTGCTGCCAAAGCTAATGACCTGAGTTTGATCCCCAGAATCCACATGGTAGAAGGAAAGAATGAGCCCCTGAACCTTATCCTCTGACCTCTGTAAGTGTGCTAAGGAGTATGTGCATGTGCACACAATAAGAAATGAAATAATAAATAGGAAGAAAGAATAAATAATGTAATAAGGACTTTAAAGAAAGAGATTTCTACTAACTCAGCTATAAACAGAGAGATGACCTATTTTGAGTTCCTGTAGCCTCTTCTCAAATCGCCAGAACAGCTGGAAATTCATCATATTATCCCCATTTCTAAACCTGGTGCTCTTCCAAAAGTGTATCAGATAAAGTGACTCTTTCCTCTTTTTCTTTCCATTATCAATTCAGATCATCTATTATTTTTTCCTTTGAAATAGTTGATGACTTCCAGAAAAGAATTAAATTTCTTTTCTATTTCAAACACTAAAGGAAAGTCCAAAAATGTTCCAGAAGAGAAATTTTTGTGACTACTTATAGGCTAGGCTGAAAGGAAAGACCTTCCTAAATATAAAGCCTCATCATGCATCGCCCAACAGAGAGAGGGAGCCCTGAAGTAAAACACCTGAGTGAAGACAGGACAACGTAGGTTCATCCGTTGTGACGAGGGTTCCACTGTGGAGGGCAATAATAATGCGGTAGGGTCTGCAGCTGTCAAGCCAGATAGAAGCTGGGAAAGCTCTACATCTCCTGTCAATTTGGAAATGAGCTCAGGAAATAACAGCTTTGGAAACAAGACGGTGTGTGTGTTTGCAGCAGGCCAAGGAGGAATGTCTGCCTTGCAAGAGTTCCGCTGCTGTTTTCAGCCATGGAGGAAGCCAGCCTGGAGTCGGTCTGAGAGGTCCAAGGAAGAGCGATGACAGCAAAAACGGTGCAACAGGAGTGGAGGTGGGAAGAGGAAGCGCAAGAGCATTGGCCCTCCAGGTCCATCTTTCCTGAGACTCGGGTGCAAACGTCACTCTTCGTGGTTTGGTCGCAAACGTTAACAAAGCTCTCGTTTTGTTTGATGAGGTTTGTGTTAGGTGCTTGCTTATTTATCATTTATTTATTTTAATTGTGTGTGTATGGGTGTATTGCCTGCATGTAAGTGCACCCCTGCTGTGCAAAGCCCTCGGAGGTCAGAAGAGGGTGTTGGATTCCCCTGGAACTGGAGTTACAGACAGATGGTTGTTAGTCACTATGTGGGTGCTGGGAATCAACCTAGGTCCTCTGCAAGAGCGGTCAGTGTTCTTAATCGCTAAGCCATCTTTCCAGCCCCCATAGATCCCTATTATTAAAGGGTTCTGGTCTGAGTAAAAGCCACTGGCCAGCGGCCCTGGCCCACACCTTCCTCTTCCACTTGGGGTCCCAAGTATGCTTACCCTATGATAAGTCACTCAACGTTTAACCAGAACTAAAGGATGGAAAATACGTCCCCAGCCTTAGGGAGCCTTCTGAGGCCCTCTGTGGGCACTCCTGTGCGCGTAGGCCCACCCTCAATCATTCTGCCGGCCTTGCTCGAGTACACTATATTTTCCACAGTTCCGAAAACACGGGTCAGTGGAGAGCTTTTCCTCTGTGCTCCTGGACCCTGCTCTTCTCAGTTTGGATAACCTCATCTGGAATCATCACATCCACAGACTTAGTCTTCATTCTGCCCTAGGATGACAGCCTTTAGAATACTTTCCAACATCACTTCTTTGATTGCTATATGAGGAATGCGTTTAAACTAGTTAGTCCTGAAGTTCCATCAAATCAGGAACTAATCTGCCGTATCTCTGAGTCACCTCCCCTGCCCCTTACTCAACTCTGTCAAACAAGAGAGGCTGAGGGCTGGGACTAAAGCTCAGGGTAGAGTGCTTGCGGAGGAGCTGAGGCCCAAGGCACACGCTGCACTACTGTTTTATTTCACAGCTCTGCAGGTTAGATTTGGGTCAGTCTCCCTCCATCTCATTCTCAACTAACATCCCTTACAGTGCATTGATCTCTGGGAAAAGGAGGGTATAGGCAATGAGACACTGAAAATCAGGCTGGGTGTGCTGCCGCTGCCCTTGATCCCAGCACCCTAGAGGCAGAGACAGGCAGATCTCCATCATATCAAAGCCAGCCTGGTCTACATAGTGAGTTCCAGGCCAGCTGTGGCTACAGGGAGACCTGCCTCAAAGGAGGAGGAAGAGGAGGTGGAAGAGGCAGAGGAAAAGGAGGAGGAGGAGGAAGAGGAGGTAGAGGAAGAGGAGGAGGAGACATTGAAAATCTGTTAAAAGTCCAACAAACACTGAGTATGGTAACTCCAATCTCAGTATCAGTAACGTTTCAATTAAATGCATACTATTTTTAAGCAGGTGCAGAAATAATCAAACAATTAAAAACATGATTTAAAATTTAGATCTCCCAGTAACGTAACAGGCCATGTGGAATCACATGCAGACCACGCCCATTATGGGCTTATTTTGCATTAAGAATGCGTTATATTTTGAGAAAGCATTGAAAGGTTTTACACAAGGATGCTGTCGCCTCGTCAGTGCCTTTGTACTGCGCATTCTTGTTCTTCTTTCTAAATGTTTAGTAGACCTTGAAAGGTTTTACACAAGGATGCTGTCGCCTCGTCAGTGCCTTTGTACTGCGCATTCTTGTTCTTCTTTCTAAATGTTTAGTAGACCCACACGTGCACTGAAGCACATTTTTATTGTTATTCTTTTTTTTGGTATTTGGTTGTTGGGTTTTGGGGGAGGGGGTTGTTTGTTTGTTTTTTGTTGTTTTTGACAGGGTCTCCCTAGTCCCAGCCTACCTAGAAGTCACTAGGACCAGGCTCACTTAATTACCTTAAAAAATAGCTCATATTTTACACATACATATATATACATATATATATATATATATATATATCATTAAATTGGGCAGGGGGCAGTGGGTAGAGGTGCAGATAAGGAAGGGGATCTAAATATCATCAAACCATATTGTATGAAAATCACATTCAATAAAAAAAGGAATGGGAAAAACACTTCCTTATTGTAACTCTTAATTATTGAAAAATTCACTTATATTTTACAAAAATGGAAAATCCAGACTTGTGCTGGGCCTGATGCACCATTAGCTGCATAAAGACTCCCTGTATTAGCTATGCTAATATTTACTGATGTGTTAATGTAACAACAACCCACCTGCTCTGGTTGCCTATGATGCACTTTCTACCTATAAGGATGGAAATTAATGACATCGCCTCTCTGAGTTGCCTGGGGGCAGAGCTGAGCCAGGCGAGGGGTATTTAAGAGCCAGTTTACTGGTTAGCAAGCCGTGCGTGCTAGCTTGGGCTGTGGCTCACGAAACTTCCTGTCAAAGGCATTTTCCAATATTGCTGACATTGAAACATTGAAAGGTAAAGTACTCCCTGTGCTTCGGAAACTACTATGTAGCAAAAGAAAAGCAGGTTTAGTGGTGCTCACTTGGTTTATTTCAAGGACAAAATAAGAGGATACTGCATTTTAATATTAATTTTCATATCGTTGTAGAGAAGGAAATCAGAAATTTTGAAAATATTTGAAAATTGATGCACATCAAGGTACAATAATAATAAAAAAGAATTGAGATTCTTATGTTATATTTTAAGGTTTTTGTAGGTGGAGTTTTATTTGAAATTGCGTCAGTCAGAGCTGTAAAACATTGCTTGATTTCAACGCTCAACTATTCTTCTCAGACAATTTGGGAAGCAATGCGCACCCTGAAGCTGCCAGTGGTTTTACTGGTCCTGTCTGTGGCACTAAACCATCTGAAAGCTACACCTGCCCGGAGGTTAGTAACCTGCAAACCCCATTTCTTTTGAGAAGTGTGGGAAGATTATAATTAAACAGTGCTGCATGACTAACAGTCCTGTGCTATTCAGTTTCCAACCAAATCCTGCTCCTGAGCTAGGCAGCGTCTTAGTGTGTAGTCCTCGGGGACTGGGCCAGTGCCTGATATATGACTCAGGTAAACTACTGATAGACAGGCATGGATACCTATAGTTTTGTCTAGAAACACACTTTTAGAACTCAGGGGGGAAAGCCAGAATACAAAGACAGAAGAAACTAAAAGGCAGGCTTCTCTACCATTCTAGCCTGGTACTAAAAGAAATTGGACAGATTTTAATAAGGCATTTATTTTAGAGCAGGTGTAATTTCAGTTCATAATCACATAGACTTTTTTCCTTGTCAGAGAATTCTGGAAGTATCCAGATTTGTACATCTCCTTTTGGAAAGTGAAGTTATAGAAATAGGGAACAAATTCAAGTTTTTAAGAAGTTAAATTTTGGAATTAGTTAAAAAGTCACTTGCTGTTTGGGATCCATTCTACATTGTTGGTTATCCACTAATGAAAGAACGACACAAAATTGTGTCTGAGATTATTTCTGAACTGCTACAAACGTAAATTAATAATGCTTGTAATATTTTCAATCATGTCCTGTATGTACATATCTGAAGAAGGCTTATTTTAAAATTTCAAAGATAACTAAAGAAAACTAAACAGTTTAATGGAGGCTGGCTGAATAGCACTAATTATAAGATCAGTGTGGAAAACCCTTAAAACTGCCATTTGCCATCTATTTCAAAGATTCTTGAGTCCAAATCCATGAATCTGACTTAAATAATATAATGAGAATTTGTGCCTAAGTCAGTTTAACTCCATACATTCTTGGGAGGATGAAACTATCCATTTTTAAAGAGCGTAGTGAATTAAGTTTACCTTTCAAAAAAGTGTGATTTAAGTCACATCAGAATTCGTCTCATTAGAATTACCATCATCTGCTCTTTACTTTCCTCTGGGTGTTTTTTGTTAGGTGGAGGTCCGTGGCAGTATGTCAAGGTATTGCTACAATGCCTGCAATAATAGCCTGATTCATCAAAGAACGCTCTTTGTTCTCTAAAGACTTACCTAGTGCACAGGGTGTTCTCAGAACTCACTGTAATTTTCAATTGGCTCTTTCATGGATAAAAATAACTTTCAAAACCAACATGAAGTTTCTGATTAGCAGGAAGACTGAACGATGACAGGAACCCTAACAGTATTAACAGCATCTTGAGCTTATCTTCCATCAGACACAGCTAATACTTTGCTGAGTATGTTTTTATGGGTCCTTGCTGATTACTACATGAGCCTTGCTCTGAAATAGAATAAATCACAGCATTACTGATTATCAAGTTATTTTTGTGCTTGCTCATAGTCATTTATTTTGCACTATTATTATATATATATTTGCAAAGCGTCCTTGAAATGTCCGTTCAGCACATTTCTGAAATCAGTATGCTTTTTAAGTGACAGAGGGATCATTTATCATCCTGAGCAGTTAAATTATGTAATATTCTAAAAATTTTGTAGGAAAACCTCTGTAGCAGTGTCTTATATTGCAGACTCCTTTAAAAAATAAAGCTAATGGGGCTAGGAAGATGGCTCAGAGGTTAAGAGCACTGGCTGCTCTTGGAGAGGACCTGGCTTGGAATCCCAGCACCCACATGGTGGCTAGCAACCATCTGTAACTCCAGTTCCAGGGAATTTGATGCCTTCTTCTGACCCCTTCCAGCACTTCATGACATGGGTGCACTTATGTACATGCAGGCAAAACACTCCTACACATATAAATAAATAAATAATAAATAAATTTAATTAAAAAATAAAGCTAGTATAGATTTATTTATTCATTGTCATTTTACCAATAAAATTTAATCATTTCATTTGAGACTTTCTTAATGGCTACTCATATGTAAAATAGTAAGTAAAAACAGACATCACAAACCATCTTAGAAAATAGTTTCATGCAAAAGGATCATATTTTTCCAATATACTTTTGCATGCTATCGTACCTGCCTTCGGCTAATCAAAAAGTAGTGAAAAGTATAAAAAGCAGGCCTAGGGAGATCACTTCAGCAGTGAAGGTCTTACCATGCGGCCATGTGAACCTGAGTTTGATCCCTAGTACCCAAATATAAAAGCTAGGTGAGCTAGCTTGGCGCTGTAATCCCACTTCTGGGGAAGTAAAGGGCTCACTGAATGGCTAGTCCAGCCAAATATGTTAAGCTCCAGGTTCAGTGAGAGATTCTAAGAAAATAAGGCAGAAGGTGATCAAATAAGATCTCCAACATTGATATCCAACATTGACCTCTGGTTTCCATAGGCATGCACACACATGCACATATACAAACATATACACTCATATACACAACACACTATATATAGTTATGTGATGATACGCGTGTGTGTGTGTGTGTACACATAAGCACTTCGGTGATTAACTAGCTTCTCCCATAACGGGGTTACACACCTCTGTAAGGAAAGTCAGTAAGAAAAAGAAAACCCTGAAAGCACAGATCCAACGTGTTGCACACATCACTCCAACCACTTTCCCTCCACCCTAATGATTTTTAGGTTAGTCTTCTACAAGTTCTTAGTGTGTTTAAGTGGAAGATACTGTTGGGGAAAACAATTACAAAACAAACTTAAATGTCCTTATTGTTTCTTTCATGATCAGTCGTGGCCTTTTTAGCTAACTCGAATGAGCTGATGCTGTATACAGATAGTTGGAGATACTGTGACTGACCTTCCAGTTGATAAAGGCAGAGCAGCACCACAATTGGCAAGCAAGGAACTCGACACACTGCTTCAGCCATTGCACAGATGCCCTCCCAGTGTCCTGACCTGACACATCATTTTCTCCATTGCCTTTGTTCTATGAGTTTTAGGTTCTTGGACCAAATTACAATTCCTGCTGTGCTTTAGGAAAAGTTTGTCTTTATTTCAAATTTAATGCCCAATGTTTGTAAATACTGGCAAAAAATATTTAAAACACTGCATTATTCTTTTGAAGTAAACTTTAGTCATGTGTGCTACACCTGCAAAGAGATATCACTGAAGAGATAATGTCATCCAGATGGATACAGGTCAAAGCTGTCGGTCCCAGCTGGGTGTGGCGGCACACATCTGTAACCCCTGTACTTGGGAGGGAAGGTAGGAAATGAGAGTTTGATGCCACCCTGAGCTTCAAAGTGAGACAGACCTTGCCTCAAAAGCAAATTTTAAAAATTTAGGTACCACAGCAGGTTTCCTTTGACTAGTTATTGCTTCATTACCTTTCATTTGTTTTTGTTTGACAATTTGTTTTTTAAGACAAGGTCTTTCTGTAGCCCCAGCTAATCTGGAACTCACTATGTAGACCAGGCTGGCCTTGATCTCATAGAGATCAGCCTGCCTCTCCCTCCAGAGTGCTGGAATTAAAGGCATGCACCACCACACCTGGATCATTACTAAACATTTGTACTTAACAAAGAGCCAGTTCACTTGATGCTGTTGTAGTTTTCTGTATTTGAACTTAGGCTTTCTGCACAGAGGCAGAGATCATATAATACTCTCACATGCTAAGATAAATGCATTGTATTTAGCCCCAAAATACATGTAATGTACTTGGTTTGGGGTATTAACTTTTAACCCTATAACTATTACTTTCCATTTTACATGAACCTAAATTTCAACAGTATTTTGATTCCTATGGAGCTGAAAACTAAAATATTTCTATAGGTGCTCTAAAAATCAACAAATATTGGGTAATATTACTATTCTATAACTACTTAAAAGCCATTTTTGAACGGCTGGGAGATGGCAGAGTGGTTAAAAGCATGTGCTGCTCTTGCAGAAAACTCAAGTTTGGTTCCCAACACCCACACTGGGGCACCTTCTTCTGACCCCTTGAGCACCCACACACCCACACACATGTGCACATATATGCAGACACATAAAATTTTTAAATACCATTTTGAAAACACATTGCAATAGTTTATGACTGAAACATCTTTCAAAGACCTATGTCTTAAAAAGCTCAGCCAATTTTTAAATACCATTTTGAAAACACATAGTTTATGACTGAAACATCTTTCAAAGACCTATGTCTTAAAAAGCTCAGCCCCTAAACCATGGTACTATTAGAAGGTGGCAGAGACTTTGAGAGATAGGGCTGAGGGGAGGTTTCAGGTCATTGGGTTTGTGCCTTCAAAGATTTGGGGGTCACAGTTGTTGCTTCTCCTCCTCCTTCTCCTCCTCCATCTTTTTATGTGGTTCATGGTCACTTTCATCTCACAACTATCCACTGTGATGCATTTTTATAGCTTGTAAAACAATAATGTCAAATGACCCTAATTCCTCACATTATAAACAATTCTCCAAAACTATGAACTCAAATAAGTTTTTCCTATCTTTGAGTTTATTTAGTTTCAGTTATTCTTAGCTGGGTGTGGTGGCGCACGCCTGCACACATCCCAGCACTTGGGAGGCAGAGGCAGGTGGATCTCTGTGAGTTCAAGGCCAGCCTGGTCTACATAGTGAGTTCCAGGAAAGCTGGGGCTACAGGGAGACCCTGTCTCAAAAAGACCAAACAAATAAAGAGTTTATTTATTTCAGTAGCAGAGAGCTGACAAACACACAGAGATGAAGGATAGCATAGCATTGACATAAGTAAATGCTTCAAATAGAAGCACAGAGCCAGGCGGAGCACACCAGTAATCCTACCCCTGGAAGAAGCAGGAGGATCACAAGTCGGAGGCCAGCCTGGGCTACATGGAAGTTCAAGACCAGCTTGGACTACACAGTGAGACCATCTCAGAAATAAGTAAATACATAAGTTAAAATTCAAATGAAGTTTTAAATCATGGTCATAATTTCTGAGTTACCTGTAGTATTATTGTTCAATTGCTGCTAATAAATGTGGTGACTTACAAAACCATTGATCAAAAAAGACTTGGTTATAACAGTTAGCCTAGCTCTAACATCAAAGTTGCTGAAAAGTAGGAGATCCTTGCACTTGGTAGGATGATGGCAATGCATACATTCATACCAAGAACTCCCATGTGGCCAAGAATGCCTCAGCGGTGATCAGTTTATTCATCTTGAGGCTTTATAATAAACTTTATATGACCTTTTTATAAGCTGACATTTTCTCTTTTATATTGCTACATTTTTATTGTAGAATATTTAACATGAGATCTATTCTCATAACTAGTGTGTGTGTGTGTGTGTGTGTGTGTGTGTGTGTGTGTATGCATACATGCCCCAGTGTGCATGTGGAAGTCAGGAGTTGGTTCCCTCTTTCCACCATGTGAGTCCTGAGGATTGAACTCAGAATTGCTTGCAAATACCTTTATCCACTGAACCATCTTTCTAGCCCTCTTTACAGCTTTTAGCCTACAAAAAATGTTGACTATGGACTAACTTCTCACCAGCAGCTCTCAAGAATATATTTACCTTGCTTGACTGAAACTATCCACTGACTAGTAACTTGGTAGCTTCCTCTCCCAAGTCCTTAGGAAACAACATCCCACTATTCAGTTCATGAACATGAGTATACAGATAAATACTTTGTGTGACCCTGCAATACTTGTCTTTTTGTGACTGACTTTCCTCAGGGTCCTCAATGATGCATATGAAAGAATTCTTTTCTGGCATTTCTGTCTTGATATCTTAAATATTGCTTAATTCTTTTTCAGAAAGACAGAAGAAAATAATGTGCTTTTAGAATTGCTACATGTTCTACGTTAGATATAAATTCTTTTATATATTGGGGAAAAAGTATCAACAAAACTTAAAATATAAGAGAAAGGCAGTTTATTATTATTAT